CACCCACCCACACCCCACACCCACACCCACCCACACCCACACCGACGCCCACACCCACACCCCACACCCCATAAAACTATCAAAGGAAGATTGGTTGAAGTTGACTTTTGCAAGACATGGAAAAATATTGGTTTGATATTAGGAGTTTGTTATGATATAGTAGTGTACGTTTACGTAATTTTTTATCAAGGTAAAAAGCTGATGTTGCTCATCTGATGAAGCAGTGCAAAAATGCATAAAAAAATGACTTATTCAATGTGCAAATCGTTCAACAGTCTTCTACAATCCGTAGAATGTTTATTATTATTCTCTAAAGCCAAGTTTCATAAAACATTTCGAATTTTCGTCTGAAAAATGGTCGTGAACTAAAAGAATAAATTACAAAATTCTAATTCACAGTTACACACGTTTCTACAACAGGCCTACATACCATCTTTTGTATCACTGAATAAACATAGCCAGCAAAAGTAAGTGCCACATCCACATTTCACGACATTGCAATCTTCATCCTTCCAGCATGGTTGTTTGCATTTATAATTAGGACAGAATTTAACAGGCAGATTCCCTAAAGTACAACTGATTATTCGTATACTAACCCATCGATATTTTATTACTACATGCAAGTTGGTATACGCACACTTGCTCGCAGAACACTTGCCCACCGGACAAATGCCCGCGGGACAGTTGCCCGTAGGACACTTGCCCGCGGGACAGTTGTCCGTAGGACACTTGCCCGTGGGACAGTTGCCCGTAAGACACTTGCCCGCGGGACAGTTGCCTGCGTGACACTTACCCGCAAAATAAATTCGCACTACTATTCTTCGAAACAAAGGGGACTAATTTCATTGCTTTCAAAATCTTATTCATTTTATCAACTCAGTTATATATACATCTTATAAGTAGTAGAATGCAGAAATGGAAACCTACAACAATATGGGCCATTAACAAACGAACTATCAAGTTCAAGAAAAATAAGTTTGGCCGACTTGACCAGGATGTTAATGGCTAGTGCTACTATTTTTCCAAATTTGTTGTCGATTATTCATTCAAAATATTCAAAACTATTATTTGTTGGTGTTGTTTCGCCAAATATTTCCGTCGTCTAATCCGGGCTCAGGTTTGGATTAATTCGACTTCGATCATCGATTGGTCTTTTTTCAGCGGAATTCCAAATGTTCGGATGTGCACAACCTAACTCTAGAACCAAGCTATGTAAAACGAGCGAGAAAAACGATATCGAATAGAAAGAAAATGGTTTGTCGAAAGAAATGGAAGAAACGAATACGAACAGACACAAACACAAGCATGAGGATTAAGTATTGATAGATCCTTGAGAAGTCATACGATTGTTGGAGAATAGTTTGATATCACTAGTTCACATAACTCTGTTGAAAAGATGCAGTAATTTTTCAATAATGTAATAAGTTTATAGTTCCTAAATCGTCACCAAGCAAGTATCCTGGTGCATTGCGGACAAGTGTCCCCGCACGGGCAACTGTCCGGCGGGCAAGTGTCCGCTGCGGACATGTGTTCTCCGCGGGCAAGTGTCCGCTGCGGACATGTGTCCTCCGTGGGCAAGTGTCCGCTGCGGACATGTGTCCTCCGCGGGCAAGTGTCCTACGGGCAAGTGTCCTGTGAGCATCTACCCGGCGGGCAAATGTTCTGCGGGCAAGTGTCCTAGATTCATGCAAGTTCATTCAGTTTCATACCTATGTTAGATGCTAACTGTTGTTTCGCGTCACCAGTTCCGAATGCTTTATATTGTTCACATGTCCAACCCACATGGTATTCCTCTTCACATTTAACACAGTATGTTTTTGAGCAATGGTCACATGTAAAATATAGCGAATGTTTAGACTTACGAAAAACTTGTTCCTAAAAAAAAAGAGAATATAATCTCAAACTAGCAAAAGACGCGAGCGCGAACCTACTTTATCTCCCGGACAGCGAACTAAGTCTTCATCTGTTTTTACATAGGCATCAAATGACGCATTAGCTAACTTTCTCATATCATTTGGATCTAATATAGTTTTTATGTCACGAAGTAACAACATAAAATTGCATTGATCCACTGGACATTTAATTTTAACTGTTACACCACAAAATGTTTGTGACAAATAATATTTTAGACATCCGTGACAGTAAGGATGTCCGCAAGCTTGTAGAGTATAAGTTGATTCATCCAAACAAATTAAACAAGCTGTCGTTGACTTTGAAGAAGACTGACCACTACTCTGCAGTAACGATGTTGATATAGTTTCCCAACACTTCTTAATCATATTTTCACATTCTATAACTTTATCCTGTGCACCACTAAGTCGTATTTGACGATGTGGTATGGGTAAAAAAGAAATGTCAACCTTGTTCCTGTTCTCTGTCAATACTTGATCAGTTGATATTAGTTTCCAAGTCTGACTCATACAATCTAACAAAAGATAAAGGTAGTACAATTACCAGGCACTTTTACGATTCTGAAAACTACGAACCTGTTGGAATATCTAACATAACTGTATATTTTTTGTTTGCCCGCGCATACTGAATATACTCGTCTATTTTTTCTTTAACCAATGTACAAGTCTGATCATCACCATAAATTCGAACAAATGAATTCGGAACGCTCCACCATATGTAACTGCCAGTTTCTTTTTGTATTCTTTGTAACACATCTTTTCCTGTTCCATCAAAAATAATTTGTATCTACAAAAAGAACGTAAAATTTACAACAGAAGAAGAGTCATTACCAAAATAAACAAGTAATAGCTTACTTTCTCTGGGTCATCTTTTATTATATACTCAGTACCCTTCATAATATTCTCAAATTTGATTTTCGCCATTTTAATCTGTTCGATATCATCACCATCGACGGTAATTTTCATTTTAGCTATATCTGTCTCCGATGTTTCGAATTTTATATAGACTTTGTTGTGAAATTCTTTTTTGATACATTTAATAGCCTCTCGAATCTGATTTGGTATTGCTTTTGCTAGTGCTGAATGTACAAGGATTTCATGCGCCATTGATGGAATTAAACGTAAATTACTTGCACTTTTAGACAATTGAATTTTAGTATTATTGTACGCTTGAATGGCAGTTGCAACGTCTACAGGATTATCAAAAAAAACAGATGCTGTAACGACGCCATCTGATGTTGGTGGATAAATATGATAAGTAGGTGTAGAGTGAAAATCTTTGTTGTCCCCGAATTTCTTTCGAAGTGCAGCAAGACCAATCTCTTGTTCTTGAGTAGTAATAGCCATAGTGTCTTTTTTTAACTTTTGACGATAGACGATAATATTTTTTGCATAATTATATAACTGGTTTTGTTTCAAAATTTTAATTATGTCATATTTGTCCACAGATTGATCAAGTACTTGTAAACGAACAGCATATTCATTCTGTTTCTTCTTCTTTACATGTCCTGATAATCTCACTTTGCCACATCCTATACAATCCGTTTTCCCGTTCATTGTGTGAATTGCTAGTCGTAATTCATCTTCATCTGCAAATGTAGCGTAAGCTATCGTTGTTTCCTGTGGAAAGTTTTTAATATTTATGGAATCATCCTGAAATGATTTGTATTCCTTAAACAGTTCTCGTATTTGGTCTTTGGCGTTTTCTATATCGAATTTCTTCGAATTTGGTTTTCGCACTACAATTACGTCTACGACACCTGCACAGGACTGAAAATGGTTGCGAATGTCTTCTTCATCGGCCTCGGTCGGTAATCCTGTAACTTTAATGAATGGAACGTCCTTAGCATCTTGTCCTCTGGCATAAGTTAGTTTAGTAGATCCCATTTTTTTATCTTTCATTTGTTGAACAGCAGCTTGCATCTGTTCTTTAGTCTGAAACTTAACTTCTCCACGTATGATGGATCCACGATAATAAATGATTTCTATCTCTGGTAAATCATCTGGTCCTTCGTAACGACAGTGATAGTACGAGTTTTTCAAAAAACGATATGCGTTAAGTGCATTGTTTTTATCTGTAAAAATAATTTTTCCATTTCCCAATGAAGGTGTTAAATACCAAATTGCTTTCAGAGAAGAATCTTGTTTACCAATAAGTGCGTCGGACTTAAGATAAGAACCCCCAACAGTTATTCTACGGTTTTCCTCAATATGGCAATTAAGTTGTTTGAGTGCATTGTGTGCCTGATTTGGAGTAGTGTATGTAACAGCAGCGCAGACACCGTTACTTGTTTGTTGTAAAAAAGATATGCCACGAACTAAAATAAGAAAAAAGAAGTAGATAATAATAGATCGATCCTAATAAACAACCTGCAATGCGAAAATTCTTAGAAAGATTTGTTTTTCTTAAATCTTTATTACCAAAAGCTCTATTATTTGGCTGATTATATTAAAATAAACTAGAATCAAAGTTGTTCTGAAAGTCAAAATGAGTGCGCTGCATATGGTTCTTCATCAGTGATTTTTCTAAGTAATTTTTCTGTTGACGAAAACATGACTTGTACAAGGTTCATATCAGTTTTTTTCAGCTTTTGATGTATTCTTCTTTGCAGCTGCTCACAAATTCGGCATTATAACCCATTGGCATACACTTTTGATTCAAAAATTGATCACAATGTTTCAACAGAATCTATTTAAGAACTGTTCTGTGGACTTTTTCTTTTATTACCAAATTGATTTGCTGTTCATCTAAAAACTTTGGTACACTTTAGATATCATGGTTTGATGACAAAGAAGAACAAAATAGATTTCTTTTTAATTTAGTCAAACCTTTTGATACTGTAATGACTGATATACTTCAGTTGAGTTTAAAGGAAAGGGTACATACTAATAGTTACGAAGCCAAAATGGTGAGCAGTTACAAAGAAGAATACACCAAAAGCTGAAAAAGGCCAACATGAATCTTATACAGTCATGTTTTCGTCAACAGAAAAAGTACTTAGAAAAGCTTGTCAGCATAGTCTCTTAGAAGCTAAAATGTAAAACTCACATATCTTCTACAACTTTATTATATTAATACAAAATATGTATAGTAAATAATATCTAACAGATGATTGTTGCTTTCCTAGGATGATCTATTGTTAGAGAAATAATTTATTTATGTCTACATTTCAAACAGAATTTTTTTCTTTAGTTTTTCTGTTGGCGCTCTATTTTTTATGTGCCTTGTTGCTATTCGCTCGTTATTTATTTCTTTTTTTTATTTCATTTTTCTTAATTTACTATTGATACTGATAATTCCCCAAAATAAGAACTTGATCAGTCCATGATTTTTGTATCGGTCATATGACGACTATGGCAAATCAATATATCACCAGCTATCGTTCCTGATTCTTGCTATATAATTGATTATCTGAGCAAAAATCAGCAACCGTGCAATTTAGACCATTGAAAACTGTATTCCAGTCATTTAAATTTCAAGGGAGGCTTTGGAATCTTCTATTGGCCATTTCAAAATAAAAGGCACGTTGCGATTTTTTGAATAACTTTCGCTGAGTACAAGGGATCGACCTGTGGTTTTCACCATTCGAGAGAGCGATGTTCGGGCCATCGATCGGTATAATATTCATTAGGACGGAAGATGCTTTTCATAGGATCTTTTCGATTGACATTCTTTTCCTTGTGTATTTTCATAAATTTTCACAATAATCTCTGCTCAAATTACGCCAAAATGTAGCCCAAATCACCTTTTTTGTGTACTCAAAAAGTGTTTGTCTACACAAAAAGTGAGTACACTCTAGAATCGGTCAGTGTGTCCGGGCGGCCGGCCGTCCGTTTACACGATAACTTTTGAAAGGAGCGTCCGATTGCGATGAAATTTTCTACACAGTTCAGTCTTAACAATATCTCGGTCGAGTTCGAAGATGAGCATGATTGGCCGAGCCATTGCTGAGTTATTGCAAAAATAGTCATTTTTCCCTATGGCTTCCTATAGGAAAATCGACCTGTCCTCACTTTCGTAAAAAACTCTTAGTATTATAATCAAATAGAACTTCAACTATTATACACCATTCGATAGAGAATTTCACGAGCTACAAAATGGTATATAAAACATAAAGAAACAAGAAGGCTAACTCATCTATTGCAAAGATAATCAAGCAGGCATTAGTTCTGTTTGTGTCTACGTTCTAACCGGTCCACAATTAGAGCAGTCTTTCGATCACAGAGATGATAGTTTGAGGTTTTTTGGGGTGGAGAACTCGAATCTGAGCTCCATTTGCCTCGAAATCCTATTGGTTGAACAGTAACCAATAGAAATCAAGTTATAGGAAAAACAACTTTCCTAGGGTAAATGAAGGTGAAGAGTTCAAATCTTAGCTGTATTCATCCCCAAATCCTATTGGTTGAGAGTAGCCAATAGAAATCAAGTATTTTATAGAAAAGGTTTGCCAGGATAATTTTAATGTCCACACATTCTAGGATGACTCATCTGTTTCATTCACTTTTTGAAGTACACATAACTCTCGGATTTAAATCCGAGGTTTCCGCATTTATTTTCTCTATAAAATTATCACCATTTTTTGAAAGGCCGCTTGAAAAAAGAGGTCGGCGAGATAATGAAAAATATGTTAACTTTATAGCGAAAAAAGGGTGATTTGGACTACATTTTTGTGTAATTTGAGCAGAGATTATTGTGAAAATTTATGAAAATGCACAAGGAAAAGAATGTCAATCGAAAAGCTTCTATAAAAAAGCACCTTTCGTTCTAATGAATATTATACAGACCGATGGCCCGAGCATCGCTCGTTCAAATGATGAAAACCGCAGGTCTATATCTTGTACTCAGCGAAAGTTATTCAAAAAATCGCAACCTGCCTTTTATTTTGAAACGGACAATAGAACAGTGTAGACCTTGTTGTTAATGCTGTACAGTGTCTTTTTCTGTTGCTAAGGAACTATGGAAAAAGGGTCTGGTGCTTGTTGCCTTCGGTTGCTAAGGAAGGATACGTTTCCAATGACTTTTGACCTTAGCTGCTCAGGCCTATGGAGGGGTGGGAAGCCGCAAAATCTCGACTTAAGACTTACGCTCACTATTTTCTTCGAAAATATACGTGAATTGCACAAAAATCACTGAAAAAGATCCTATATTGTTCACTCATTTTGATTTTCCGAACAACTTCGATTCTAATTTATTTTGAGATAATCAGACAAATAATAAAGCTTTTGCTAATAAAGATATAAGAAAGCGAATTTTTTCTAGGAATTTCGCGCCGTAGGTTACTATGTCTTTTATAGCCAAAACCAATGAAAATCGGAGAGTGCATTATGCGTGCTGAGGAAAGTTTTTTTCTAGAAGAAATACTTCGTGTATGCAACGGTAGATTTAATATCAGCTTACCGTGTCCGTAAGGTTTACACAAATCGTTGATTCTCTGTTCTGTAATTGTAACTGGTAACCTCCCCAGGATAATTCGAATAAATTCATTTTCAACTAAAATCATTTTGCATTCACCGCCATTCCCCATTACAATACGTGTTCTACCTACAATTTGAATTTCCTCTTGTTCATCTGACAACTTTTGTTTTTCTTTTTCTGCCATATCTTTAATAGTTTTTTTTGCACTGTCTAAATTCGATTTTTGACACCATATTGTTAGTTCTGTGTCATTATAATTTGCTTCAATTACACCTTGAATAGCTTCATTGATCATATTTAATTTACAGTTACGTTTACCGACAACAGCTCTTATCACAGCTACTGTAAACTCTGTAAATGTAAAACTTTCATAGGCTATTCTGTGTAGACAACTAATTTGTACAGTGTCTTGCCATTGTTGTGAAACTGAGTGTAACCAATCAGGATCTAGTTTAGATAACGTCGTTATATAATTGATTCCATTCAAATTCACTAACTCATTATAAAGAATGTATTGTGGCATTTGATCATTGATTGATAGCGCTGACATTTGCGAAACACGTGCTATCAGTGGCTTTGTTGACGTTGATGAAAATGCAGAAATTACTCGATATCCTGCTCGTAGTGGACCGTTTGAGACGGCTAAATGTTGAAAAAAACCGGCTGTAAGACATTGTAGGATTCGATGTATCAAATCTTGATTCAAGTCTTTGTCAATTGTCATTTCATGATCCATTTGTTTTGAAATCTCTTCTATAAAATCGTTTGCAAGTTTTAAACTTTTTGCATTGACAAAATGGTTTCTGCACCAATCGTACTGTTCCTTTTTCTTATCATCACCAAAATCTCTCCATTGCCAATAGACAATTAGCAGTGTCATATGATCACCACTCTCATGACTAAAGTTTCTTCGCGCTGCTATTGCCATCCGCTTAGCCTCATGTCCCTTGCCTCTCCACCAGATATTTTGTGATACCGTTAGCATGCCAGCTATGATCAATATTTGAGATAAACACTGCAATTCCTTAGCTTTATAAAGCATAGCTGTTAGTTTCGGATCAATACTTAGATGAGCCATATTTTGTCCAAGATCTGTTAATTTATCCTGATCATCAAGAGCATTCAGCCAAATCAAAGTTTGATTAGCTTCTTGAAGATTAGAAGCACATGGTGGTTCCAGCCATTGAAATGATTCGATGTTATCAATTCCTAAATTTTTCAGTTTTAAAATCGCAAGAGTTGGTTGAGTACAAAGGATTTCTGCTCGTGAACAGGTGTCCATGGATTCGTACGTTGCTATTGTGTATAGATGATAACACTGCAACGAGAAAATTGATCAGAATGTGGCAAGATGCTCGATATCTGCTAAACTAGCTGTGTTTTGCTGCGCTGTAAGCCTCTCCTCAGTGTCGGAAAAAGAACAGAAAACAGCATAAACTCACTTTTCCAGGTGATGTTCTACCAGCTCTCCCTCGTCGTTGTTTCACCGAACTTTTTGTTATCCGCCCGATTTTTAAAACCTGCATCTTTCTCTTCTCATCCCACATCTTCTTTTTCACCATTCCAGTCTCAATGACATGTTTAATTCCATCTATTGTTACGGATGTCTCTGCCACATTTGTACTAAATATTATTTTACGTTTATTCGGTATCTTCTCAAAAATATCTTTGATCTCGTCTTCAAATAATTTTCCATGTAACGGTAGAGCTTTATACGGTTTATTGTTCACGAGTTTTTGATTTAATTCATTTATAGCTAAATCAATTTCCTCTTGACCAGTTAAGAAAACAAGGATATCACCAATCGCTTCACTCCGATGGATTGCAACTGCTTTTGCAACTGATGCTTGGACATAGTTTTCAACATCATCATCAAGATACGTATCTTCTATTGAATAAGCATGTCCGCCAATTTCTAGTTTGCCACATAAATTTCGAAAACCTTTTGAGAAGTAATTGTATAGCAATTCTGTATCCAATGTTGCTGACATTACAATCAACTAAAATAAATTGCAGAATGTATAGTACCAGTTGTAGCTAGGTTCCAATTCTAAAGGAACCCAGGGACACAACTTTTCAGTGGAAAAGTTTCACGCTGTTTTTTTAAGAGATCTTTACCTTCAAATCCTTTCGTTGTCTCATGCATGCTTTCATTATTCCAAACGCTAAATCAGTATCAATTTTTCTTTCATGAGCTTCATCAATGATAACAACAGAATAATTTTGTAACAATGAATCTTTTCGATACTCCTTCAGAAAAAGTGTATCAGTAACGAATTTGATCTTTGTTTTATCTGAAGTCGACTCCGGTCGTCTTCCGCCCACATAAAAGCCAACCTTGAAAGAAAACAAAATTTAAATATATACAGCTAGTCTGATTCACTTTCAAGCTTCGTTCCTACTTCTTCTCCGACCCTACAACCATATTCTTCTGCTACACGAGCAGCTAATGAACATGCTGCCAGTTTTCGTGGTTGCGTACAGAGAATTTGTTCTAAAATCAATGTGAATAGAGAGATAAAGGAAGTTACTGTAAGCAACATCAGCAATACATACTTTCGTCAGCAAAGCCTTCATCACATAAGTACTGCACCATTTGTGTACTTTTCCCTGAACCTGTATCGGCTTTCAAAATTAAAATTTGATTCTTTCGAATGAGTTCAATAATTTCTGTCCGTTTTGAATAAATCGGTAAATGTATTTCCCACCGTTTTAATTCACGTTGCAATTGCTGATGCGTATGCCGAAGTTCGTTATAGTTATCATTTTCTTCTGATGTATTTATCGAGTAAAATTTGTTGGTTAAGGAGACAATGGCCAAACGAAATTCATTTTTTTGTAATTCTAATTCTTTCATTGTATCTTGTTTAACAATATCGAGAATCGGTTCTTCATCATCTGACTGATCACTATCGTCCTCATCATAGTCAGTCATCTTGCCTTCTTCAACTCTTTTTGAATTTCTTTTTTCACTTGCTTTAGATAATAGTTCTTCTATCGATGTAATCATTTGAGCCGCCGATAGTTCTGTTGTGGTCATACTAGTAGCATCAGTTCGATCAATCAATCTGCCATTGGAATGCGTATAATAACAATCTTTCCGAGTACAATTGATATCAAACCAGCACTCATTTGACACCTCACTGGGTATCGACTCTTTGGAAGGTTTTGGATCTATAGATATAACATCTTCTCTACCATCATCTGGGACTGGATCAACGTCGACGTTTCGTATGGATTCAGTAGTAGTTGCTGCTGACCTATTCGTTGAATCTGACGTGTAACAGTTCTCATTTGATGAGCAGTTTATTCCACTATTCGAAGTAACAGATGCCATTTCACGTTTTTTTCTCTATTATCAAACGGTTTCAGCTTCAAACAATTTTAACTTGTTCTTTCGTTAATGACAAACAATAGTCTATGTTTATCACAGATCTTAAAAATGGATAAAATCTAAGGAATGATGGAAAAGTTCATTACTTAGAGAAAATGTAACAGGTGGTGCAAAATACAACTTCTGAATTACCAAGTGAGTGATTGTGCGCAGGCGAACGTTTCGAATGTATTGCAAAAGCTTTCGAAAGCATACTCACGTTAATTTAATTGCTTCATCACTCTCAACCAATGTGTTTTACCGTAAATCAGAGCTCTTTTAATACTTAAAGAAGTCATCTCGTTATTTCCTATATGAAAAAATAATATGATAAAATTCTGTCGCACCATAATTTTTATACATAGGAAAAAACAACAATTTTCATCGCATGTGAGCAAAGAAAAGTTTCAATGTCAATAGATATTCTTTTTTTCCCACTCAAAAACAAACCTCTCTCTTACGTAGTATTCAGAGAAACAATGATTTTATCAGCAGAACGGATAAAAAAAAACCGTTTTTGCTATGAGAAGAAATGCTGAAAGAAGCCATTGTGCATATCTTTCGGATGATAGACATCGCCTTTTCTTTCTGAATCAAAACGGTTGCATAGAATTTCTCTGCTAATAAAGCATCACAGAAAAATAAGAAAAATACGAAGGGCACGTGGCACAACAACACCATTGCCTGCAATATCATCGACTTCTCTTCTAAACGAAATAATTAAGAGAGGGTCCGCCATAGGATCGAGTACAGTCAATGTCCCTAATAAGAACAGATTTTTTTTGAAGGTCGGAGTAATTCTTTTGCTACTAAGTCATTTCTTGTGGTAAAAAATATTTTTTTACATATCTGAGTGCAGAAATGTCTGCTGCATCGAATGATGTAAAAATCATCTAATTATCTCGTAAACTAATTAAGTAATTAGCGGTAGTTTGCGAATAATTGAATTTGTTCTTATTAGGTACACTGTTCCTAATAAGAACAATAACGCAAAAAATGTTCCTAATAAGAACATTTCTTATAAAATACATAGAAAAAAAAATTTTTTTAGTAAATCGACTTTTTTATTCTTGGAATAAAAAATTTCGATATACTTCTTTAACAAAAAATATTCCTCGTCACTTGATACCATTGAATCTCAAGGGTCAGATTTTTTCAATTTGTAATAACAAAGTTATTACATTTTTAAAAATATGTTAGTTCGCCTGTTCTTATTAGGAACACTGTTCCTAATACGAACAGTCAGCAAAGAAATGTTCCTAATAAGAACAATCTATGTAAAATACATAGAAAAAAAACATTTTTTGGTAAATGAACATTTTCTATATCTAAACTAAAAGA